ACAGTTATTAATATTATTTATAGTAGATTTATTTATAGTATTATGTGGTATCTCCCGTCGATTGATAGAGAGAGTAAGGAGGGCAGGCTGACCGAGTAAGAAAGGAGAGGGAGAGGGAAAGCCAGCGAGTGGAAAAGGGTGAAGGTGCCTGATTAACAGAGAGTCAGGGGTTGAGCGAGAGATGCAACACACAGAAAGATGTATACGTTCCGGTGTTCGTCCCTCAAAGAGACGACATTCAGTCTTTCACAAGTCCTTCCGGAACGAGTTTTTTGTCGTTGGATGTATTCTTCGCTCGTACGCTACAATCAGCCATCCTATCTACATTCCACGTTGTAACGCGTTCGCACACACGTTTTACAATTACACACAACACCTAGTTATCAAGGGGGAGGTCGGCCTGGCAAATACGCAGCAAATGTGTAAAATCTCAAGTCTTCTTTGGCTGAGAGAGCACACCAACTCTGTAGTTAATGAACGCATAGTTCATGGGTCCTTAACAGCATGTATCGTTTGCATTATGTCTCGATGAAGGAAAGATCTACGGTATTTTTACAGTCGTATCTTGTCGCCTGAGAAACGTTCTGGTTGTGAAATGATAACGTCTGCAAATGCAAAAGCGGTGAAAGTCGCTTATATATATTTCGGGTGATGGCCACATGGTGAGCGTTGTCGCGAGAGACACATACAGGGTGTTACAGGGATCTACATTTGTGGTGCACGCGAGAAATCACTCGGTATGTGAAACAACGAGAGACTGCAGATCGAACTGGGTATTGATTCATTTCTGACAACGCCATGTGGCCTGTTAATTTGAGTGAGGGGAAGGCTGTTGGACGTATGTGTGTATGTGTGAGAGAGAGAGAGAGATGGAATGGAAAGGAAACGTACAACGACAACTCTTTCCCGTGTGAATATATACAGATATTACATGTACGTGAATCGCTTGTATGTGTGCGCTCGCGCTTTTCGCGGTAATATCTTATCAAGAGCGTATTAAGAAGGCCTTCTATAAAGACCTTCTTTATACGCTCTTGATCTTATGCGTTTATGCTTTTTGCAAAAAAATTGTTATGCTCAAATGCTTGCCGGCAATGGTTCGCTGTTTGTACGCGGTTCATTGCTGCAAGTGTTAACTCCATCCATACGGCCGTGCCTGTTCCAGAGATAGATAGATATATACACACACTGTACGTATTGCATTTGTTATTTTTAATAAAAAGTGGTTGAACATCGTATCCGCTGCGTGTTGCTGTTTCTTGGGCATTTAATTAATCACGCAATGCGAAAGTCGTTAAATATGAAGCGTTTCCCTTTAATAATTTAGGTTTCCGTTCAAGGTCAGGTCAACATGATTTCAATCGATCTTGAAGGCAACCACAGGCTACCAAACTTCTCCAACACACATATACAGCTGTACGGTGAGAGTATTGTACGTTTTGATTTTTGAAATTAAAGTAGATTGAGAGCGATTCTCGTGTAGTAACAAGGACACAATTCCACAATGAAATATCTACACTTAAATTTAACAGTTATCTGCGCATTTCGTGGAATCAATTATCAAAATGTATACGCTTGTAACAATACATTCAACGTTTAAACATTAAATATTTTTTTGGAATGCATCTTTATTCAGAAACAATTATCAACATATAATACTCTAACATGAATACAAATTCATCTATCAAATAATCGTGTCTATCGTTGTAATGACCAAAAATATTCTTATCACAATCAGTCAAACGTAATACTTGTATAATATAACAAAAATTCTTACAAACAATAATATAATGTAAATTTTATAAAAATTAACAGTTGCATATTTTTCTCTCTATCGAGATCACATTGAAATATGATTACAGATTTTGTTCCTTGCACCATAGTTGTTCTATTGCTCACATGATTATGAATGATACCTCACCAGTTGTCTTATCATTAGCTAGGTAATTACCTGCTAGAAGGTGGATAGAAAACCGGGTAGATAGAGACTCCGGTATACAAGCACACAAAGACACACGCACGCACAAATGAAGGAACGAACGAACGAACACATGCATGTACTGCAGGTTTGGTTCGTACGTATATAAATGCTGGCTTCATCTCCAATCACATCATTTCCACATTTATTCCTCTCTTTACGTTTAATCTATCGCATCGCGTTCGATACTAAATTACATCACACATACCTGCGATTTGCCGAATTGACGAAGACTAGTTCATTTCAACAACCTTCGCAATCAATCGGTCGTTGGTTGGAGGAACTGCCATCGGAACTGCTGTAGGTACGTGAAGAGGAGCGTGTCTGCACATATCCCTGCGCACGACCGTGCCCTGGCGCCCCCTGTCCACCGCGCGCCCCCTGTCCACCGCGCGCCCCCTGTCCACCTTGCGCTCCCTGTCCACCGCGCGCCCCCTGTCCACCGTGCGCCCCCTGTCCACCGCGCGCCCCCTGTCCACCGCGCGCCCCCTGTCCACCGTGCGCCCCCTGGTTAGTCTGAAGAGAGAGAGAGAGAAAGAGAAACAGAGAGAGAGAGAGACAGAGAGAGGGCGTGTGAGTGCAAGTGTGTGAGGAAGGAGCGAAATTCCACAATCACATTCATCAGTTCAGTCTCCAAGTTTCAACTTTCGCTTTCCATGGATGTTCAAGATGCTGTTCGACAGTTGTGTGGAGGCTCGACGGGGATGAATGGGAATCAAGCATTGCAGTCAACAATCGCGCGGGGGTTCGATGGAGATGATCGGGAATCAAGCATCACAGTCGACAATCGTGTTGAGGTTCGACGGGGAGAATCGGGTAACACACACGCACGTTACAACCCAGAAACAGTGGGGAAAACACTCATGCACATGTTTCACGGCACACTTCAAAGGCAATACAAACTCGCGCAGAGTACCGGACGACTCTACAATCACCGACACATAATGCACACGCGCGCAGGGTCAGTCCTGCCAACCTTGCAAGCTTGTAATTTAAACCGGTTGCTTGCGCCACACGCAAATTACGACCGAGCAAGCCGTGACAACGATAAACACAACTCATGCCAATTTCAAACCGACAAAAACACACGCACAAGCGCGTGAACAAGAAACCCGAATTTGTATGGCGATATTTTTAACTGATATTACGTCGACGGCAAACCGTAACCACGGCAACGGTCGTACCTCGGTCGCTTGGCACTGAACACATCCTCCGGTGAGACGCCCGTCACAGGACCGCGTTTCCCTGGCAACACAGGGCTACACGTTCCCGGCATGTCCTCCGCATCCTTTACTTTTGCCTCCGTACTAACGGGCGAAGGGGGCGCATCGTCCTTGTCTGAGAGATGGATGGAGAAAAAAGTGCCGTCAAGATTCGAACTTCTGTTTCCTAACATCAAACAGCAGTCAGTTTGCTTGCAATCTATTAAGCGAACGAATGAGAAGATCAAAATCGCACGTTTCGTGGCGAAGATGCAGCCAAAGTTCCAAGATTTAAAAAATATAGATTGCGAGCAACTTAAATTTGTTTATTAATTACTATAATAATTATATCGAGTTGATGTATAGAGTACATTATAAATATCATATTGAGTATAAAATTATATATCGTTACAGTTATTATTTTAATAGCGAGTTAATTCTTCGAGCGAAATAATTCTTAATTTTCTAGCGAGTTTAAATTATTATTTAAAATAGCGAGTTAGCCTACAACAGCCAGCAACAATCGCAATGCACACGCGTGCAAGTACTGCCGTCGCAACATGTTTTATACAGAAGAAATATTACAAGGAATTTTTAATTTTATTTTAATTAATTTTTACAAGGAATATTAGCATATTACAAGCAAGTCCCAGGCTTTCATTTTTAAGGGGCGCGATCGCGCTCCACCGCGCACCATAAATTGTGCCATGGTGCGTGCATCATCGCGCCTCATAAAAGTGGTTGAAATTCGCGCACCAAAAGTCTGTGTATTATGTTGAAATAGCGCTCCATTTTACAGGGATGAGAATCTTCCGCGGATTTCACAGTCCCAGGGTCGATTTTGTGAAACGTCTAAATCCGTTGAGAAATTTTTTTAGGGGGGTTAGACTGTACAAATTTTCATTTTACAGTCCAACAGCCTACTAACAGTACCTTCATTTAATAACATTGTAATATAGTTTGCTTTACAATATAGACACGGCTTAGTTCACTGTTTGAGATTGTCAGACATTGGCCATTGACGCTGCGTGTGTGTGTGTGTGTGTATGCCGCGCATGCTACGCAGGCCGTATATATAGTACGCGATCGATCGATCGTGTACATCAAAAGCCGCCGCGTCACGCGTGGCCTTGAGGCTAGTTTTCCCTGTTCATAGAGTTGTCAATGTTGCAATGGATCGCGAGCCCTGACTGGAGTACGTATCTATTCTAGCCCAACTCTAGTTTCAGTAGCCAATGAGAATGCAACTTTCATACACCCTTCGCAGGGCTCAATTTTAACAGTCGTCC